CAAGTCTCTAGTACTTGAAATGCGTTTTTTACAAATTGGGGGAGAAGGGGGCGTGGTATCCAAAATCTGTAAATTACAAAATCTTTGTATCGATTAACTTTATATACAACGCAAATTTGAAGACTCCAGGTCTAAAAATGTTCAAATTAGGCTAAAAAAACAAAATCAATTTTTCGATTATTCTCGATAAAAAAGTTATCGGACGATTTATCGAAAAAATAAAGCAAACTCGTACTGCGTATGGTACACACGAGTATGCATGCCAAATTTCAGCTCTCTAGCTCTTATAACTTCTGAGATCGACGCACTCATACGGACGGACGGACGGACGGACGGACGGACAGACGGACAGGGCTATATCGACTCAGCTCGTCGCACTGATCAAGAATATATATACTTTGTGGGGTCTGCCACGCCTCCTTCTGCCCGTTACATACTTTTTCACAAAACCATTATACCCTGATTTCCCATTTTCAATGGGTTCAGGGTATAAAAATAGAAACAAAATAAAAATTAATTTATTTGTATATTAGTGGAATGTAGTAGAATGAAGTACATAATACAATTTTAGTAACGAAATATAAATATTTAAATATTAACATTGAAAACATAATATGGTAAATAAAGAACATTATTCATGTTTTGAATGAATATGGTATAAATAAATAAGTTTAAAATTAAAAATATGCAATAATAAAAAAAAATTTTATGATTCAAAACTGAAAAATTTTAATTTACTTTTTAATTTAATATTATACAAAATATTATATTAAAACTTCCCCAAAAAATCTTTAACAAATAATTTTTCAAATTGGTCGCTTATAGTATACATGCTTAATTTGTTTTTTAACAATGCCCATTTTAAATTGCCTTTGACTACACAATGCCCCACAAGAAGTTCTACACTTCTTTGTCAGTTTAAAATTTATTGCCCCAGACAAAACGTGTTTTATTTTTTTTTTAAATATACTCTGAATTCATTGAAAACGGGACATTAAGGTATAATGTTTTTGCCCAAATGATTTGACATTTTAAATATATATTCTTTTGTTCATTCAGGATAAGCTTATAACGATACTCAGTAAAGATAAGCGTATATTCAATTCATTTGTGAATAAAACTAGTTTCTTCACCAACGATAAATTTTAGACTTGATTTGTTATATGTAAAGCAGATGTAAGCTTAAAACTTAACTTAAACCTTTAACTTAAAAACATATTTCAAACTAATATCTATGAAATATATACATATATATAAAAATATAAGCATTTTGTATTCATTTAAGTACGCATTTCCATTTCCAATTTAATTTATGTCTTATTGCTCTCAAATTTCAGACATAAATATTGCAAGTTTTTGATTGGTTAGCATTTAAAAAGAAGATGCAAAAGATCTCTATCGTGCTATATAATCAAATCGCCAACTCATCTGTCCAATATCTAAAACTTATATGAAACATCAAATGCTATTTAAAGAAACGCCGACAGAAAAAAAAAAAAAAAAAACAAATATCAATAATAAATAAAAAAGGGAATTAATAAATAAAAAGCAGAAAAAAAACAATATATAGAAAACGATTTTTTTTTAAATCTTAAATTTGTTTGGCTTTAGAACTGGTTCACCTTAACGCCGCCGCCGGGCATTAATTATAAACAGACGACTATTTTATTTTGTTTTTGTTTAAATCTTAACAACAAGCTGAATCTATAATGTGAATCAAACTTTGATTAGCTAATGGCCCGCTGATATTTTATGCAAATGCCTTGCTCTGCATTTAGACATAGTCTGACTACATAGATGATTCGATCTGTTTTGCATAATCGGATAGACGTCATCAGAATCCACACATATTTTTTTTGTTCAACTAACTATGTATGTGTGTGTTTTAGTAAATGAAAGAAGAAGAACAACAACAAGTTCGTCTTCTTAATTTGATTGTGAATCTTTTGTCTTCAGTGCTCGTTGCATTTGTTATGCAATTGCTTAATTTATTGCTTTATTTTCTTTTGCATCAATATGGGCGGAGTACGTAAGATGAATTCTTTAGTTTAATTATTGGCAAATTAAATTTAAAAAAAAATATTTTCGAGCTGATTTTTTTTTTTAAAGATATTTGCATAATTTTTTGGGGTATTTTTTTTTTTTTTTATTTTTTTATTGTAAATTAAATTTTTCAAAAACTAGAATGTTGTCTTTACATTTTTTATGACGTTTGTGTTTTGTTTTGTTTATTTATTTTTTTTTTTTTTTTTTACGTGTATTTTTTGGCACGTGTATGATATGAAAGATGAAATTGAAAACAAGAAGCTGTGAGTGACGTAGCAGCATCCGCCGCCACAGTGAACGCACATAAACTTGAACTTGAATTTAATGTTGGGCCTTAACCGCTATGTTTCTTCCCTTCACTTTGAATCTTATTTAAGTTTATTATTGTTTTTGTGCTGCTGTTTCTTATTTTTTTCTTTTGATGGCTTTCAATTGTTGTTTTTGGGGTCATCGGCGCGCTGCAGAGTTCTTTATATAACGATACCGAACAAAGGCCGCATTTGAGATCTGTACGATAATGTAGTTCAAATTCAGTCTAATGATAATGTTAACAATAATACTGATGACAGCCCACGACCTTCGCCTTCAAACTGCATATTATAGCTGACCACAATCTGATCTAACTATATATCTACATATATATATATATTAAGTCGTAAATCTAATGCTTGTATTCTCTCTTTGAGTCGAATCTCATTGTTCACACGTTCCATTTACATGGCCATTGGACGATTCGACTCGTACTACCCATTCAGTTGGCTATATCTGCATATATATATATAGATATCTTTACAAGTTCTCTGTATTTCCTATGCACATTAAAATGTCAAATTGTACACACACACAAACACAAACACACTGTAAGCGTTCAATCTTTGCACCCACAGTACGAATTTACTTGGCCCGAAAATCATTCGAGATCAAAAGTTCAGTCACGAACCCAACCGAACCGAGCCCAACTTAGAAGAACTTGCAGACCAAGTGGCGCATGTTTTTTTACTGTTGCTTTTTTTTTTTACCGACAACAACAAGAATTACACAAGAAAATTGTGGAAAATGCAACTGAATTTGCTTAGTACAAGAAAATGTGTGCCTAATGTTGATTTTGCCTTTTGGGCAGCAGCCGCAACTGCAGTCAAAGGTTTCGTCTATCTTGATTCGAGCGGGCGGATTTCTCGTTTCTTCATTAATTTTTCGACTAAATAATTATGCTGTATCTATAATGAACCTACATAAAACAAAAAAAATCAAAGTCAAAGCATTGCTAATATGCTACAAATAATCATTTTTAGACAGTTGAGATTAAAGAGCTAAAACCAAAACATTAATACAATTCTGTGGTAAAAGGAAACGGAAATGAAATCGGCGAAGTGATTTCTGATATTTTAGTTTTTTCCAACGAGAAAAAAAAAACACCTAAATATAATACTTCCTCAATGTATTTGATGTTTTGCATTTCGTAGAACACATTTAGTTTTTGATCAATTTACTTTTTTCGTTATTATATATTTATTTCTTATTATTTTTATATTTATTTAACTTTGGGAATAACTGTAAAGGAATTTGAAAATAATAATATTCAAACAAATATTTGTTATATAAATAAGTTCAGTTTGTTTTTAAAGCTTATTATTATTTTATTTAATTTCATTAGATAAATTATACATATTTTAGATATTTCCTTTAATATTATGAATATCTCTTAGTTATCAAATACATTTCATACAGATTTTCCACTCAATTGCATCAAAGTGACATTTATTCGAACAGAAGAGTTCAGTTTTCAAAAAACTTGCATTTTGATATTTTTGGAAATAAATGAAGTAGTTATTTGTCATTTAAATTTCTTCCTTAAAGGCTGAATGTTTTTTTTTTTTTTTTTTCGAAACACTTATACACTTTGGAACCTTTTTTACTATGCAGTGCCCCCAGTTGTCCACTAAGTACCGAGTGCCATTAGCTGTGTTGCCGTGCCGTCAACAGCTCTAGACGCCACACCGATAGGCACGCACACACGCGCACTGCGGCTCACACGCATTACACGTACGTACACGTACAGTGTCCGTGTGAGCTGAAAGCTTTTTTGGCATGCAGCACAGCCTTTCCTTACGCACAGAGAGCGGAGACAAGAGAGAGAGAGAGCGTGAGAGCATAGATAACTTACAGAGAGCGAGCGAGGAAAAGAGCGAGCTTTTTGAGCTGTCGCCACCCGCTGCTGCCGCTGCTGCTGTTGTCGACGTCGATCTTTGGCGCAGCCACCGGGCCAGAGCATCCAGCCGTAGCCGTGGTTCGCCTGATCGGCATATAAAAGCTCGCAATGTCTTAGCAAAATTATTCAGTTAACAGTTGCGGGTTGGTTGAGACATACAAGCCCCGGCAAGAGTTAAGTTAAGTGTCGCCAGTCTAGAAGTTAAAACAAAGTGCAAAATGAAATCCATGGTATGTTGTGTTCAAGCGTACTATAATATACAAATTAAATGTCAAGCCAACTAAACCATCTAAGAAACGTTTCAAGTTATAAAATCACCAAGTGTTCGCATTATATTCATCATAAATATCTTATATCTAGTTATCACTACGCAATACAATGGAAATAAATATATAACTTTATATATAATTATTATTTTGTGCTACGAAAATCTCAAAATATAATTGTGTTTCAAAATGTTAGAATCTTAACAGTTCTAGGAGCAAAATCAAATTTCAACTATCTTTTTAAAAGCTTACAAGCTTTACATATAGCTATTTCAGCTTTGCAAATTTTTTAGCCAGCAAAAAATTATAATAATAATATATATTTTACTATTCTTAGATTTTTTAACAAACTTCTAAAGAAAAAAATCACAAAAATTCAATATATTTTTTATAAATAACATTGCCAAAAAAAAAAAACAACATATTTTTCTGAAAAAAAAAATTAATATTGCTTTTAGTATGAGTAACGCAGTTACTAAACCTAATGAAAGTAATTTAAAATATTTTAAATAGTATATTTTTTAAATTTAACACATATGGCTAGCTCGTATTAAAATGAAATTGGCACATTTTATCTTAAAAATTAAAAAAAAAAAAATTCAAAGAACTTTTTATTGAATAATTAATTATTAAATATTTTATAATCAAATTAAAAATTTGGAGGCAGATTAAGTAGGAAACATATATATCTCAAGTCAAGTACAACAACACAATTATACATTTCATTCACTGCAAAGCCCATTTCACATAGTGATACAAAAACATCAAGCATACGCCACTTGGCACGCACCGCGCAGGTTCTTTGCGCATTACGTATGCGCCGCGTGGCCGATGATTGGAGCTACCATTGAACTTGGCGCGCAGCCAAACTCATTTGGCAGATTGCATAATTGTCATATTTGAAATAATTGTTGGCGGAAGTGACGCAGCAGTCAAATTATATAATCGTTGTTGTAGCGATCGTATCGATTAACCCACTTTGGTTTCCTTTTTCATATTGCAGCTCATTTTTGGCCTGGTGGCTATGTGCGCGCTGTTGGCCAGCGCCGAGGAGGCCGAAAAGAAAGTAGAGGCTGCAGTTGCTGCTGAAGCGCCTGAGAAGAAGCAGGAGAAGCGCGGCATTGCCTATTCGGGCTATGGCTATGGTGGCTCAAGCTACGGTGTCTCCGGTCTGGGCGGTGGTGCGATTCTGGGCGGTGGTGCAATTTTAAGCAGCGGACCCGCTGCCGTTGTCCAGCAGCTGCCCACACAGGTGCGCACCAACACCGTTGTGCGTACCGTGCAGGTGCCTTATCAGGTGGAGCGTCGTGTGCCCTATCCCGTTGAGAAGACCGTCACCTATCCCGTCAAGGTGCCCGTGCCACAGCCCTACCCCGTCGAGAAGGTCGTCCAATACCCAGTGAAGGAGATCGTCAAGGTGCCCGTCCATGTGCCACAGCCCTACCCCGTCGAGAAGGTCGTCAAGGTGCCCGTCAAGATCCCCGTCGATCGCCCCTACACCGTCCATGTGCCCAAGCCATACCCCGTGCCCGTCGAGAAGCCAGTCCCCTACACCGTTGAGAAGCGCGTCATCCAGAAGGTGCCCGTCCATGTCGATCGCCCAGTGCCCTATGAGGTGAAAGTGCCCGTCAACGTGCACGTTGAGAGCCACGTGAAGCCCGCCATCACCGTCACCCACACCGTCACCAGAACCGAGGGCCAACCCATCGTCAGCGCACCAATTGCCTACGGTAGCGGCTCAGGCATTGGTATCTCCGGACCTGGCATTGCTGTCGGCTCCGGTCATGGTATCATCTCCACCGGACATGGCATCTCCGGATATGGCGTCACCGGACACGGTGTCGTCTCCGGACACGGCGGCTACCTCCACAAAAAGTAGATCAATTTTAATACTAACGAGGGCCACATCCGCTTCTGACATCGGGTAATAGGCGTATGGCAACCAACATCAAACAATACTTTATCATACGAAGAACAACCATAAGAAAAAGATAACCTAACTGGAACTATCCCAAAAAACGAAAAAAGAAACCCGCGACCCGCGACCCGCAACCCTCAAAGTACGACTTACACTTTAGTTTTAGTTTGTGATACCAACCGAAATTCTAGGAGGAAAGCAACAAACAGCGTGTTCAACGGGAAGATCATCAAATGCGGCAATTCGCTGAGTGTTTTCCTAAACGGAACACTCTGGAAACTTGCCAGCCCCTCCCTCCCCCTTCAATGGAAGGAGAAACAAACATCAAGTCGCATTCGGTTGTCCTGCTTGTCTCTATGTTAGTTGTGTCACCATCTTCCTCTTATGTACAGTTCTTTCTAGACAGAAAACTAAACAAAAACATCGAAAATTCAGTTGCCTCTACGACTTTATTTTACGTCAATTTCTATTCTATGAAATTTTTGTACATATTTAAATAATGTAAATAAAAAGAAAATTAAAACACATTCTCGTCTTTTCTTTTTTGTGACTTGTAATGAGTTCTTATTAGATTCAATTTTAATTGGGGCAAAATCAATTCATAAGCAGTCAATATTGAATAAATATTGAATAAATAAACATAAATAAAATACTGAAATA